AATTCACCTTCGTCGCATTCAGCCAAGGTAAATTTGGCTTCTGCAAAGACCAACAGTACAGGAGGTGGTGGTGATGGTGGTGGTGGTGGTGGTGGAGGAGGAGGAGGCAGTAGTGGAGCTGGTGGATGGTCGCGAAGAGCTGCTGACGCTGTGCTGGCAGAAGCTGCACACGCCGACAAAATGATGCGGTCTGCAGCCGGTGCCGCTTATCGATCTGCCTGTCAGACACCTCCAGCACAGATGGGACGATGTCATACGCGAGACTATTTTAGAGGTACACCCCTACTTCGCTTACCTACTGCCTTTGACTTTGTGACACTTATAAAATTTAGTGCACTAAGTTGTGCACTGCGACGGGCATATTATGGCCAACATTTGGATCTGCTTGCAATTCAATCGCGAAGACAGATGGCGAATCTTTTAGCATAGATTGTAATTTATTTATATCCGACCAACTGACTTTTGCTCTTGCCTTCGAAAATGCATCCATTCACAGCAAATTACCACGCATAATGTTAATAGCGATTTGACTTTGCTTCGATACCACGAGGTAAAATTGCTCTGTAGTTAGGATGCAAAGCGCTGTAGGACTAAATCATGCTGATGTCATTTTAAAACTGCATTTGTCTCTGTACACTTGTTCTTTGCATTTACATGGTATGGAATGCGTTGCATCAATCACCCCTTTGTGATGACTCCGCGAAAGGAATTGACTAAGAGGGATTTCAAAAGAAGTCGCCATTACCCAGGCTTCTGCATAATACCATTGCAGCTACGTGCAAACGCTTCTGCCTACATTTATTGCTTAAGAAATGACCTTTTTGAAAGTACGGATTAACTACCTCGAAAAACTCGTGCGATCAAACGCCTATATCAACATCTTGGGTAACTTAGACTCAGATTTTTCGCCTAAAGTTTATAGGGAATTCATAGTTGTGCAGAATATTCAGGTCTGCACCCTTCTTCACCCAAGGAGACCAAACGACGTCCATGTAACCCACCCAATAGTTGTCTCAAGAATTTCTCTCCTCTGTATAAAACGAGGTCACTTTACTTGATGTTTGCTGGTAAGTGAAGTGAAGACCTGTGTCATGGTCAACATTCGCGCCATTCGCGAGCTCTTATTGTGAAATAACAATTGTTAAGGCTACTCTCCCTTTCCTGACTTACTGGTATCGCTTCTTTGACACGCCAGCTGCGCATTTACGATAAACTTTTAAACAAAAGCCAGATCTTACTTCCCTTCCCTTCCCACTATTTGTATGGCACATTGTTTTGTTTATTCAGCCGTAATTGTCCACCATAAATTGCCGCACCTATGTGACATAGATCTGCGAATCTTTTCCTGAACTAGCATTAAACTCGATTTTATCCGCCATCTCTCCAAATAGATTTCGCGGTTAATTTTACGATGCAATTACAAAACTATTAAATTTGGCGCGGAGTGAAGCTTAATACATCTTAATCACATACACAATAGCTGCTGTGTCCATCTTTACCAAACGTGCACACAGCCATTAATCTCACACCTTCAGAAGGCTAACTCGGGCCGCCCACTACGCTACAGCTTATGATTGCCCTCAATCAAGACCACACAATGAGGAGTGTCGGCACAATGCGATTGCTACTTATTCCTAAACCACTTTAAGTGGCGATTAGGAAACAGTTGTGCGTGACCTGTACCTCTAACTTGCGGGGGAACAAAATCTCACTCTTACTTCTTAACCATTATGATATGACACAGCAAGCATTACGAGCAGTTTCGATGCAATAGGTGGTTGCAGTTGCGAAATCGGATGTCATGTGGGAAGTGGACCTTGCTCCTCCACTCGTCAGAATCCTTCTTATTACCCTCCGACTACGTCGCTTTGTCTGGAGTGTCAGCAGCAGCAACATCAAAATCACCAAAGTGTTGACACCTGTTGTCAACAATGGTCAGCACATCACGCTCATCACTGTCAGATGTCTCACGCGATGAGTCACACACGGGCTAGTTGTTCGTGCGAAGAATGCAACACCTCCTATAGGGAACAGGAGCCACCGTGTCGCCTCCCGCTCTCGTCCTATCAACGAAATGCTCAACCTAAATCTCCTTTTGCCGAAGAGGAGACAGGCACCACCCAGACTTGTCCCGCCTGCGCTGGTCTAGCTGCGGCAGCCTCGCAAGAGTGCGGCCTCAGCGACGGGAGCTACAATGAAGTTCAGTGTGCTCCACCGCTGCTTAAGGATCCCGATGCAGCACTTGCCGATGTCTGGGCCTCCGCTGCTCATCACCGAAGTGGGCGCTCCATCGCTGCCATTCCTTCCTCCGTCTCTCGTCGTTCAGGTTGCTATAACACGGAAAATCTGCTCGCCGAGTGTATCAGCGGCGACGGAGGCTGTGGAGGTAGTCAGTTCTCCTACATGGTTGATTGCACTCAGTGCCAACAGTGTGATGCTGAGCGTTATGCTACAGGCATTGGATCCAAGCCGGATAGCCGAGTGTTGCGACGAGTAGCGACGGTTGCGCGTGACATCGCTGAGATTGTGAGAGGCATTCGGTACTTCCAGCGTAAAAATGAAGAAAAAGAACGTGTGCAGAAGATCATAAACGAGTGGCGCACGGTCGGTGGTGTCCTTGATCGCCTCTTCTTTGTCTGTTACATAATCGCAATAAGCATTTCGATAATCCTTTATTTCCCAAGACCTGCAGGTAGTGGGTAAATTGCCTATAAAATTACAAAAACACTCACAAAAACAACGGGTCTTCAAATCCCGATTTTGCCTTACAATCGTGTATAATACCACAAGACTGTTTGATGTCTTCTTATCCTCTCCTTCTTTTCTTCCTCACGCTCGAGTCTTCAGCAACGCTTGAAGAATCGGCTCGAAATGTTACTTTCGTGTTGTAGCTCTGACAGCACTCCTTGCAGTGATTTTTTGCACTTTGAGTACTGCCAGTACGAGCTCATCCCTTATAGTTAGATATACAAGACTTTCTACTTTGCTTCTTTATTGAAAGATCAATGGCTGAAAGTTGGTTTGGGTTGAATGCTCCGTAGCCTCCAGTGACTCGGGCAATAAATTTTTTGAGCAATTGTCTTCTCCTTCTGTTATCAATGTTTCAAAAGCTGCAAATACCTATGCGAAAATACTATTTTGCCAATACCAGCAGATGAATTACTTCCAAGTCCATCTATACACTTGTCAACTGATGAAGCGATAATGCCTTCGAAATTAAATCTGAGGCCAATCGCTATTAAGGTATGCAGTCATCTCCAATAAGAAAGTTACTAATGTTTTTAAAATTTTTATGCGGATTTACAACAAAACGAACTGCTCTTTACTCTTCAGGCATCAAATTTCACAGACATTCCCTCGGAGAACAGCAAATCATTGTGGTGGAGTTGCTATTGCCACCTTGTGATTAAAACCATTTGTGCGAACTTTTTTGGAATTAAATTCTTTCAAATATGTTCATGCCTGCTTATGTTATTAGCGTCACGTACATGCACGAACCTAGTTAATACATAAGCCGAGAAGGATTTTTCATTTGTGTTTAGAACTGTTTAGCTGTTTGGAACTCAAAGATTAGATCTGAATGTTAAAAAAGGTTTGAAAAGCGCATTTGTAAAAAACTGTGATTAAGGGCTTTTTGCACAGGGGGGTCCGTCCTATGAATTGGTTTGGGGGTGGAGCTACTTAAAAGTCTAATCACTTTAATGTCAGTCTGCTATTCCTCGTGAATGCGTATGAAGAACATTCCTAAAATTCACCACCTTATAGGACATGGGCAGCTTCAACGACATATTCCACTTGGTCGTCTACACTTCTCGTGGTACGCATAAGAATAGCTTTCTTTGTTTGTCTTTTTATAATCACATGGGCGGGTGGTAAGTAGCTCTGAGGCTTAATTTCTTCGGCTTCAGTGCTGTTGGAACTAATGCATTGTAATTTTCGCAATGACCCTGTCGGCGAGAGCTCTCAGAGTCACAAAAATCATGGCTGGCGAGGCAGCAATGTTTGCTAAGACGATAAAATAAACTAAAACGGCTGTTTTGAATCAGCATCACGAAAGCAATCAGCTTAAAATTGGTTAACCAAGGGAATGAGGAGCTTTGAAACATGGCTGTTAAGTTTGCATTTGGGTTGTGCAAAGTTTTTGCGTTAAAAGTTTCTTTCCCATTTTTGCAGCTTCGCATCTACTTCAAAAGACTAGTGGTGAGGCTCTCCCTGCCACCACTTTTTAATTTGCCTTCACGCGAAGGCATTCTGACAAAATGAGCATACAAAGTCAAGTTGTGTTTTCTTATGGCAATTTTAAGGGCATTATGCAACTGCCAGCTTTCTGCTGCTTCAAACTGTCCAGTGATTGTGCCATTTTCATTTAAAAATATTACTGACGTGTGCTGCCAATTTTCTGCTGCTTTAACTTTCTTAAGCTATGCATTTTGCAAGTATTTTGGGCAGTTCTCGCAAACCTAATCAAGAAGTAGCTGTATAAGGTTCATTTCTTCTCTCACCTAATGAATGCATGATTGCTTGAATGTTGAGAAGCAAGGGAAGCTTACAAAAATGACACTTTTCGAGTTTAGACTTGCTATATAGCCAGATCGAGTTGTGCATTTGTGAGTGAGGTCAGAAGGAGAACCGCTACCTAGCTAGTTATGCCCAATGCTGAGGTTGCCAAATTTGGATCTTAATGCTTATAAGCGTCTGAATATTTATTTTGATCCACTCGATTGCTTTAAATCTGCGGGACTTTCCTTGCTATCTGACAATGACGTTGCGTGCTCAAGTTGAGCCTTATTAGTTGGCAGATGTTAGAGAAATTGGTAAGAATTTTGTTTTTAACATTTCCGATGGCAAAATAGAGGCCATCCTCACAAGCATCACTTGGCAGAAGCCAAATCGTTATGGGCTAAGAACGAAGCGGTCCCGGTAAGTGGCTCTGGTTCCTGAGTTTTGCGATGCTAAATTGCGACTTGCATCGATTTACGTAAGAGTCAGGGGAAAGGTATGGTCACGGACTTTCACTGGTTGGAACAGCATTGGCTGTGTATGACGGCGGTGGAGAGATAAGGAGAAACACGCAACCGCTCAAGGTCATGTCATAAACCATTTTGGTTAGCGAGTTGCGCAGGCTGGTGAGCTGCGAGACAATGTCATTTAAAGCGGATACCTTGAAATTTCCTTTCAAGCAATGTACAGTATTTTGTTTGCTGTAAAGCTGAGGCGATAGCATATCGTTATAGTCAAGATGCTAATGTTCAACATCGTATTGCTATTTCAGTAAGGGTTTCTACAATTTCGCTCTGTTTTGCATGCTTTCGCTTTGGTTTGGCATCCCTTAGTTGTAACTTTACCTCTAAAAGTGGAATTTTCTTTCCAAAGAACGAGAGAAGCGAGGCTTTTAGCCCGCACTAGCTGCGTACGAGGCTCCGTGACATGCTCCAAACAAGCGAAATGAGCTTTGCAGATTAAAGTACTAAACGTAATGTGTATTTTGGAGTTGACTCATTTTAGCGGCAAGCAACCACTTTTTGAGTTGTTTGGAACTAGAACAGCCTATTTAAAGAGGTAATTGCTCCCACGAGGATCAACAAATCAGTGATTTGCCGCATCACAAAGGGACCTCAGTCGTGGTATCGCACGTTTTGGTGCATCGAGTATACGTATCTACCACTTATTGCACTCCATCTCAAAACTTACACTGTGTCTCTACAACTGGCAATGTAAAGAAACCACAAGTTACACAACCGCCCTTTTACCATTCAAGATTTGACACCACATCGTGTGAGTATTTCAAAGAGCGTTGCATACTTTTAAAATGATCCGCGTAAATCTCAAAGTTTAAGTGCAGAAAATTTTATACTTTAACTCCGCACGCATCGTTAAAAATCAACCTTCCTCGGGTATGGGCCCTGTTGAATCTCCAGCCTTCGGGCAAAGGCTTGCTCTTAGGCGATTGAAACTTGAGTGGAATGGGAATGATCTGCATTTTAAGCCAATCTGAATATGATGTGTATGTTAGCTGCCAATGTTTCTTGAGGTCTCCCTTTGATGAGTCGTCAAAACTGTTGACAGAAACATTTGCTAATGGCTGCAGCATGCTATGATCACTGGTTCCTGCCCTACGTGGGTTTCAGGCCAGTCAACTCTGGATGCTCATTATGATTTAATTACCGGATTTGAAGCGGTTGTAGAAATCATAACTAATCTTACGCTGCAATAAGAAACTGAAGCATTGTGTTATTCTAGCGAATAAAACCATAATTCTTTAAGAACAAGGCACCAAAAAATTTACTTACTTTATTGCTTTCTTGATAGTTACTTATGACAATAAACTGGACGTCATGAGCAGAATCCTAAAGTGTATTCGACAGGTTAACAAAATTGCTATATAGACTAAAGCTATGATGGTTGTGCGTTTTGATTTGCTTTGTATTCTCTAACAGACAAGCATACGAAAGTATATGGGTCCGGTAGAAAAACGGATTCCACTTCGCCCTCTTGTATGGCAATTGGACAAAATGTAATGCAGCACAGTTTGCTGTTTGCTTCCTGGTCCTGGTTACGATCACACGGTTGGCCACATTTCCTCCACCCAGAGGGCAGCCTCTTGGCCATGCCGGTTGCTCCAATGCTTTCTGTTTTTGGTATTAGTACGCCAAGAGAAAGCTTCGAGGTGATATAGGTAAAGGGTTTACCTAAGTCTGTTGGTGTTCAAAACTGTCCTAACCGCGTCATTGTCGCACTGACCAATCGTGATAGAGTATAAAGTGCGCCTGATTCAATTCGCTACCAAACTTGCAGCAACTTAGGTGGGTTCGAATGCCTTCGTACATGAACTATGATGCTGCTTTACTCTTGATGTCACCTTTGCGATGCAACTCACGACTGTGCACAATTTTTAGCCTTAATCTCCAACAAGAAAGAACAAAGATAAGATTAGCTCGAACATCTATTGCGTCTCTTTAATCAGTGGTGCTGTACTTCATTGACAATGCCATTCATGTTTCCTATCACTACAGTTGAGCAGTAGCAATTAGAGGCGGTTCTGGAAGATATTACATGCTATTCTTCAAATATAACACTACGAGAGCCGTATCCTTCGAGTGCACCTCTTATATCCATTTGCATGGATGCTGGTTTACGGAAACACGCTAATCACTTTTGACTTGTTATTGACTTTTAATCTCTCGGAATTTCGTAGTTTGTTAACTTTTGGCATCCTATCTGATTGATTTTAAAGCGAATTAAGTAGGCTAAAATAGTGTGGTTATTTTGCTTTAACTCCTTTAAAGTCTCAGAATTGCTAAGCTCCCTTTTATTGTTGTTGTTTTTTGTTAATCTAAAGTTTCTACTTAATTTTGTAAGTAACATCGTTAATTGAGCGTGAGTTATCAGCGTTCAGAATGCTGCATCAAAAGTTTCGCATACATGAGGATTAGCACAACTTATCAAGCAGAGTAAAATGAGTAAATGTTTGCCTTCTACTTACTTAAAATGAACTTCTGATGCATAAATACGCAATTTACTGTCCTGCGTTAGGGAAAGACGGCTTTAAACGTGAATAGGAAGGGAAATACAATACCTTATTAGTCTTGCCTAGTAAGTTTATGAGCAAAAGTAAAACATAGGAAGACTAACATGTGCACTAGTTCAATTCAAATCTATTTTAATGCCAAGATAAATTTCATTAGATTCGAATCTTAACAGCAAATCTATTTTAATTTTAGACCTTAGTTCATACACTAAACAGCGGGAGTCCTCCACTCTACATCCTCTTGTTTAACTGACTTAACTGAAAAGTACTGTAGATAAGGTCTGCAAGCTTACGTGGACTGCAATAATTGCAAACTAGTTAGCTCAAATAACAACTTTTTAAAATCACCAACACTACTAGCTGCGTTCCTTTGAACAAGATTGTAAACCCACCAAAGTTACCAACTAGATTATAAAGACACAACAAATTTATCGAAGACATGTTAACTGATTAATGCGGGTAGGCTGAGGCGTTGGTGACAGAGTTCGTGGCTGCTTCTGATTCCGAGTGTGATTATGGGTCACTTGACTGACTCAATCATGCGCAATTATGGTCTCAGAGTGATTAATGGTGAACGTAAGTTATGGCTAGCGAAACCTCTGCAAAGCAGGAGGGGCCGGGCGAGAGGGTCTCTCTCTACGTTGATAGTATTAATAGCCACTAAATGGGAAGCTTCTTGACGGTTTGAGGAAGACATTTTGTTAGAGCTGGAAGCATCTCCAGCAGTGCGACGCTTAAATGGTATGCAGAATGTTGTTGGTGTGATTGAATGACAAGTCCGGATTTTCGGTTTTATGATGCCCGTTCGTGCAATGAAACCGTTGCTCTGCGTACCCGTGGCGATGCAAAGCTTTTTAAAGGGACTTTAGGGATAAAGTCGGAGTTGATTGGGTATTTGGTTAATGACTTGAAGTTACTAACCAACAAATAGGAAATTAAATGCAGCTCTATGCTTTAATTAAAATTCATCACATCGCCCAAAACTATCCAACTTACAAGGGTGTGTGAAAGGCCTAATTGCAGTTGTGTACACATGCAAGTGGCATTTTGGCGAAAATAGCAGCTGTCCAATTCGTTACTCAACCATGTGTTGGTGACTTAGCATAACGCGCTGGGGCAAGTTTACTCGCCCACAATAAACAGCATTTATGCGAGCACATTCACAAAATCATTACTATTCCGTTGTACCCGTTGGTAATGCTCAATTTTCTCTAGTGAAGTCGCCGCAATCCACGACCCAGATTTGTTTGCGTTGGCAAATTCAACAGGAGTTATTCTTTGTAAAAAAAAGATGACAACACTTTAATGAGGCGCAAAAATGACCTCAGATAGGAGGCCAAACCTATTCAAACTACAAGCCCGTGACTACTAAGGAAGTTTTGGAAGTGATAGAGGAAAGTGGTGACGTAGAATAGATTACTGAAGCTAAACAGACTTGGCGTGTAGTTGTTTCTCTGTTACAACATCAACTTGTGTTTAGTAATTGTCTTAAAGGGTATGACAACAAGGTGAGAAGGAAGCAGTTGTATTCCTGCCGTGCTTTCATGTCTTTCCATTCATTTAGTCAGCACAGTTGTGCACATCTTTCACATTTTCCATGACGTCCGTCACTACTGCCATCGGCAATCGTCGCTCGATAAAAACAGCGATTGCTAATGGCGCTTTTTGGAGTTGGCGAAGGTTAGTTGTGTCACTCAGGGGTTGCGCATCATAAATGTTCAAGCATCGTCTCGAAGAAAATTAATACTTTTCATTATGTACCGTGCCACCAAAGAGATTTCACATCGTTTACCTTAGGAGCACACTTGTTCTAAAACCTTGGAGTGGGGGGATGGACACTTTTACCTGCTGAAAAGGCCGAATGTACTTTGAGGTTTTAACAATTGTTTTAAGTAGCTTCAACCCTCTACTATGGATTTGTGTCTTAGAAGAACATTGTTGGGTCAACGGATTTGTAAATCCAACACCTAAAGATTCAGCTTTTCGAATATAGAGTAAATCTATAATCTGTAATATTTGAAAATGTTAAGTTAATATCCTATCGGTAGGTTTTAGATCACAAACACAGTACAGCATTGCGCTTACTGCAGGAGGTGATTGAATCCCTCTCTGGTGGCCAAATACGTCTTATTCCTTAATACTTTAGTTGCAGAAGGAGCCGCAGCTTAGTGCAGCAGTTTAGCATAAACGCATGAAACACTATAACTCCTGATAGTTGCCAACACGAATTATTAGGTGTTTTGCACAACCTCTGATTTGCCGACAATAAAGCGGCAATTAAAACTTGGCAATGGCTCTATACATCAGTGATAGTTGACATCACATCATGCACTGTATTCGAAGCGGTCAGTGTTTGCCACTTAGTTGGGCGAAACCTTCTCCTATTTTGGTATTACAAGCAAGTAGAATGACCATCGAAGCAGTGAGTCAGTATTTCCATACTGGAGGCTGTCAAATTTTGATTCGTTTCTTGAACTCAAAGTGACTTTTAAGTTGGTCAAAAATTTTAGTTTGATTGAACAACGCGTACTGAGGAAAACTTTGAAAAGTCCTTCCCGACCGCAGTGGCCTCGTGAATTTGTTCTTGCTCCATTGATTGGGTCACAGAAGCGCTACTTAAGCCATCCCAGCTAAAGCTCCAGCTTGCCAAAATTAGTCGTTACTTTAGGGCATTCAAACGTGGCCAGTGGATGGAATTTACAAGTCAAGCCTATTTGGACGTGTGAAGCAAGTCGGTACGGAGTGTACTTCAACTGTTCGAACTTACCTGGTCAATCCACTCTGCGCCATGGACAATGGGGGTGCCTGTGGCAAAGTTGATCGATGTCAGGTAGGGCTTTAGAGACGGCGACTTTTGACCAATGGCAGGAGGGTGATTCACTCTGGCATGAACGCCGTGGCTGTGGTGTGGAAAGGTGATGTCTACTGAGGGCCAATGAGCCATTTTTAACAACTGCACACTCACTTACGTCTTTTTGTCGCTTAGCCTACTAAATTTAAGCCATACAATGTGGTTAAACAACAACGGCAAAAAACAGTGTTTAGATTTGACTCAGGGGCTATCACCACGCAGATGCACTTGGCTTACTTTTCGCTTAATCCTAATGGCCATGACCTTCAGTCTCAACGGGAAAGTTTGAAAGAAAGAGCTAAGCACTGACAACAGTGCCAGTGTCCAAAAGTTTTATTTTTGTCGAATTTTAATAAAACTGATGGTGTATGCGGATCGAATTAGCCTGAAATGGTGTTTGAGAATCTCAGCACAATCAATAAACATTTTATTAACCAGTACTCCAATCTCCTTTAATACTGCAAACATCAGATATAAGGAATTCGTTTTCTTCGAAATTCTAACTCTATCACGCTTATTTATTCACTGATGAATGCAAAGTTCTGCAGAACACCTCTCCTCTCCACCTCCTCGGTGGGACTGGTCAACAGTATGTGCGGCCCTATCAGGTGACAGCATGGGCACAAATGCTTCATAGCATTGGACCGACGAAGGTCATGCAAATTTAGCCAACCACCTTTGAAGAGTGGGAGTGGGCGCGAAATTTGAACCGTGTACCGCGGTTTGCCGTGCGTTGTGCTGGTCGAATGCGAGTAGGCATTTCGGCTAGCATCCCATCTTGTCATTTGCAAGCCGTTGGTCTTCGAAGCGTGTGGTGGTACAACCTAAACGCACGTCCACTTTAGGAGATATGGAGATCAGACGAAGCCTTGAAGCGAATTTCCTTACATGTCGCATTTGTAACAAGCCTTTTACTACTCCCAAAGTGTTAGCATGCATGCACACTTTCTGCAAGCCATGCCTGGAACATGTCCTTGAGCAGGAAACACTGGAGGCAGCACGAAAGCGCCGCGAATTAGAGCAGTTTCAGAGGTCCTCCGGTTATTCTTCCACCTCCTCTGTATCTCAGTACAAGGGACGCTGGACTCGGGCTTTCAAGACGAACGACCATCAATATGACAAATCACGGCTCTCAGATGACACGATTCAATGTCCAGTGTGTTCTAAAAAGACTATTTTACCATCCTCCGGAGTCCATGGTCTTCCTGATGATCGGATGGCCGGAAAATTGGCCTGTATTGTTGGGAAGATCCCAAACTACCCAATTTGCGACGTCTGCTCCTCTGGTAATCCAACTATCTGTCCCGATATCGGTCTCAGTGATACACCTGCTCTCAATTCGAAGCCTGACAATCATAGGCCATGGACAGACGCGGAAGATGGGGATAGTACAAGTGATATTCAGTCAACAGAAGATGAAGAAGATCACTACCGCAATGGGGGACGTCTACATCGCGGAAGTCTGGGCATCCATTCGCGTAATGGTCGTCGCCATGTTCGAAATGGACAGAAGAAGATGTCAATGAACGCGTCAGATGATGAACTATTTGCGTCTTCATCGAGTAATAAACCAACACGACCAAATGAAGCTGTTGCTGCTTGCCTTGAGTGCTCCAAACGTTTGTGTGATTACTGCTTGCAAAATCATGCAAAAGTGGCCGTCACAGCAAATCATGTAATCATTCAATTGAATCAACTATCCCAAATGTCATGTTCTCGACATCCGCGTGAAGCTAAGCGCTTTTTCTGTTTAACGTGCGGAGAGCTAGTATGTCTTGTCTGTACGTTTGAATCGAGTGTTTCAAACTTGAACTCCAAGAGTGACGATGAAGATCCCCCTCATGCAGGAGGACACGCTGATCATGAGGTTTTATCCATTCGTCAGGGTCTCATAAATCTCGAACAACATGTCAACAAGTCGATTTTTGATTGTAAACAGAAGGCAGAACGTTTGGAGCTGCTACTTCTCGGCCTGAAATCCTGTGCATCAAATGTGCTCTCCCTTAAGGCCTCTATTAATACAGCTGCCGATAACCTTATCAAAAGTATCACAACACAAAAGGAGAACCTCCTACATGAACTTGATACGGACGTGGGAGTAACTTCAGAACAACTGACTTCACAGTGTGAGATTATAGCAGCCTCTCTGGCTAATTGGGATGAGATTAAGGATGAAGACGACCTAATGGAAACCATCTACGCTCTTCATCCCGTTGAGGCTCTAGCAGAAGCGAGTCATATCCGCGAGAAATATTACAATGTTTTGAATGAGCTTAGCGCTTCCATTCCAAATCAGGAAAATTGGTCTCACTTAGTTAAGGAGATTGAGACGTTGGAGCATAGTTTTTCTCAACATGCTAGTGTGGCATCAAAGGAAGATGACGGCGACAATGAAACAGGCAATGAGACAGATAGCTCCTCAGTTGCAAGTACCAGTCCTCAAAAGGTATCTAAGCGAGTTAGATTTGCTCCACCGACCGAAGCCATTGGCATGATTCCACCCTCCTATAGTGCTCACTGGACCCGTCGTCTCGGTAAGTTCATTCCCGGTGAGGGCGCTGATTTGGGAAGACGTGCAACACCTGGCCAACTGGCCGCTGAGGCATTCTTTAAGCGGGACAAGTTTGCCTGCAAAGCTATCCAAGCCAGCCCTACAGACGTGAACGGACGACCTCTTCCGGCAGAGCGTGACTCACGACGACATCGAGCCATTCAAGTTGATCTTCGGCCTACCAATCAAACTGAGAACACCACGCAGACAGAGGCCTACAGCGTGAACGCCATTCACCGCATCAAAGTGGACTTTGGAACGCAATACCAGAGCTCTGACGTCAACATACCTCTATCATTTTTCCGAAGTTCCAAACAGATTACCGTACAAAAGTAGAGTGATTAATCTCTTTTCCCGGCCCCCAAACGTTGTTCATATCGTAGCCGCTTGTGGCTATCCTTTTTCGAATTAGGCTTGAGGAAACCATATTCAGATTCGGTGTGTTGGAGAGCTTCCCAACCTTACGTCACGCTTTTAATTTCAAATTGATTTTAACTACTCCTATTTCCTCTACGAACTTTTTGGCCAACGGCAAAGCATTAGCCCATGGTAACGTTGTACACTTTTCGCAACCTTTTCGGATAAGTTTTAAGTGACTGTAGGCGCGCATTGTTCACGTACCTAATCTGCGCAGAAAGAATGGGTAGTGATACGGGAATTTGAAGTTAATCCTGCCCACCGTTTCGCCAAATGGAACCATTTACGCTTGAGAAACTATGCTGGCATTTGAGTGATATAATGTAAATCCAACAAACAACATTCAAAAGTAATAAAAGAAATGTCTTTGTGTAGTCTTCTTAAACTCCTGATCTTCGACACAACTGGTTCGCCTTACATGCCCAACTCCTGCCTCCAAAGGTGCATTTCAAGGAGCAGAATCCATTGTATAGCTTTATCTTCTTGAAGGGGACTGGATTGTTGCACTCTGATGACGTGGTACTCTGAATTAGGCGCAGCAACGGTTTAGGCAGAGTAGTCCAACTTTTCCTCGCTTTTCAACTGTTTATGTGAGTAACTACTTAGTAATTAGTTTACAGTGTGATCAGCTTTGTTCTCAAAGTTGCATGAAAGTTGTGTATCATGGTGGTTGCTCTTGCATTTAAATTTGCAACTGTGTGTGGTGAATGGGAGGATACTGCTTCCTGCTGACGGTCAGAGCCTGATGCGCCCATTTTCACTGCTACACGGATTCACTGACGGCTCTCATCGTGCAAGTTTAGTGTGACTAAATTGGCTTCAGTAATTTGCCTAAACTTTATGTATCTATACGATTGTGCTAGTGTGTTTCACAAAGAGTAAATCGACATCCACAATGTTCGCAAATGACAATGGGAATTCTCGAGTGTAAAGCCGCCCACAGGCGTTATCCTGCAGAGTAAAAGTACAAATGCCGCTCCATACGATCAATATTAATTTTTTGCCTTCACCAAATTCCTACTTTTACGGGGAAAATTGGGTCACTTCTAGCATGAGACTAGGAAGGTAAAATCTTAATGGCCCCCTATGTGGTATTGCTTTACTTACTGCAAAGCATTCCATTCGGTCTAGCAAATTACACATCGGCGCCTTTGATAAGGCTGGAAGGTTTGAAGGGCGCTGTTCCGCATTAGCCACTTTGAATGAAATGTGGGTGCTACTTGCGCCGCCTAACAGAAATTTACATTCGCAAACTTTTTTTAAGAAAAACGTGTGTCACTTTTGGTCCTATTCAAAGTTGTTTGAATGGTTATAATAAATAATGCAATTTTTTGAAGTCAACTGGCTTTAATACGATCCTGGCGTGGAAACCCTCATAAACACTTTCCTTTAAAATGACAGTTCAGTTAAGTCTTGTTAACAAATTTATGAATACTAATCACAAATCTTCTACGTTAAGGCTAAAGGTGTTTGTTCCTAGTAAGAGTTGGAGTTTGTGCAAACAATAGAAATGCGTTTAGGCGTTGTGCGCGAACGAATAGGCTGCAGAAGAAAAACTGTCCGCGCGCACATAACCTTTGCCGTCTGCTTTACTTCGTCACTTGTCCATGTTATCAGTGCCTCCGACTACAACTTGAAGAAGTAATTTATACATGTTAAGGAGAAAAGTCACTCTGATCCTCAACAATCCATCCTCAAAGGGCGGAATTTAACTTAGTTGAGTGAATTTGCTACTCATTCATTTTGGCCATTTCGAGACCGCATGAACATTAGAAGCTGAACTGAAATTAACAATATTATTGTTTATTGAAAAGCATTCCCTTAAATGTAAGGTTTGTCCAAAATACCGAGCGCATGGATAACAGGACCTAATGGTGCCGCTAGTTAATCGCCTGAAAGTGCAAAAGTTTGCACCGCTTGTGAGACATTGTTAGGTGTAAAATGTGGGGAGTACAACAATGAGGGAATTGACTGCCACCACCGACTGACTGATGTGGTCATCTGGCTAGCAAAAAGTCAAAAGCTGTGTTGCAACAGACTACTCTTAAGCGCGGCCGTGTATTAATTGACGAACTTTAGTTTCCCTTCCTGTACTCGGTGGCTGCATCAGTGCGTATGCGTGCACATCGGTGGATTAATCATGCTGGCTGACACAAGCAAGATCAAACCCACTGGCCATGCACCCGTGTGGGGGGAACACAAAGTAGTCGCTCGCCCCCACAGCACCCAATAACGATTGTAATATGGGAATTGTGCAATTGACTGCGTTATTTATAGCAGGGCAAAGCAACCTCTTCAGCACCCATTAAGAAGGAACATGCTATTCTGCCCTCAAATTAAACAAGTCTTACAACACTACAGTGCCTGAAGTCTGACCTTCCTACACGAAAATTTGATTAACCTATTTGTTACGAACAATTACTCGACACGTACTCTTTCCCATACCCTTAAATAAGGCAGATTTCTAGCCTTAAAAAAACTTAGTCGAGCAATGAACCAAGGCATGACCTTGGGTGTACTTTTCTCCACTTTTTTCCACCTGTCACCCTAATGCACTTGTCTGCCCTTGTCGCTCTGTAATCCCTCATCCCATCACCGCATTTTTTGAAGGGAACATTGGCAATACTCACGCCGCCAAATTCACTGCTAGTCTTGGCAGCATAAACCTATTTGTGTAGCCATTTGATTTATTACGGATATTGCTGTACTTGAACCTTTTTGTTGCTACTGTCAAAGTAGCATCAAATAATTTTTCAGAAGGATTCGACACCAACACACTCTAGGAGAGGAAATAAATTAGATGTCACGATTAAAGTTCCTCGCCGTTCTATTTGCCCAAAGCTCCTGGTTAACTGGGTAAGGACAAGGTTTTGGCTGAAACTAGGTGTTTAGCTTACTGCAAGAAATATACCGCCTTTCCTCCAGCCCATTTGAAAGTTGATGTTCACTGCCCAATTGTTTCTCCAACTCTTCACTTTGTTTTCATAACAATGCGTTTCCCACCGTAGTAGGATTACTTGTTTTGTATTCGAAGGAAGGCCCAAAACATTGCAGCATGAATGGTTTGTGTGAATATAGCTTGTAACTTGAAGGCCACATTCCACAATTTATGCGGTAACCAACCGAAGGCATAAAGAACGAGTGACATTTGCGAGGAAGGAGGGGAGAGGACAGGACAGGAGACTGGTTTGTGGGTATACCTCTCTTTTTCATAACCTCTCGCACTCTACACTTTACTTACTGGTTTTAAAAGGATAGCGGAGCATAAGGAATTTTGTGGTGGAGTATTTGGGAGTCGTGCATGTAAATTAATTTTTTTGTAATGAATTTGGGCCCAAATTGGATCCATCCCTACATAAAGAGAGAGCGAGACTCGAAGTCAGTGCTTCAGGTAGAACAGAGATGCATCGTAGTACGAAAGTGAGCCCCTACATGCAACAATAAAGTCAATCAACATATAAAAAGCTGAAAAATAAATTGGCAGATGTAATGGTCATACATACTCAATTATTATGCTTGCCGGTATTCAGTGGCTAAAAAATAAATAGCAACTGCTTTGTCACCTTTTTTCTCCTCAAAAAAAAGCACGTGAATGTGTATTGATAAATGTACATCTCCATGCTAACCGCAAATGATGTTTCCCTTAGTTGGGTGTAGCTTTCTTTCAAGAAACCAACTCTTTTGACTCGGTATGGATGGCTTGCTATCGTGCTTGCATGGATAGCGGCCTCCTGAGACGACGGACCTGAAGTCTAACGAATATGCAGTGCTTGAGCAGACTATGCACGACCGACGTATGGGAGGGAAGGTTGGCTGCCGGCTTAGCCTGCCCAACTATAGTGCACGTGTAAAAATCATAATATGTCCCTCAAAATATTCTGCTGTAATTTCATCAAAGGCGAGTGTTTAAACAGCTTTAGCTCATAAACAGATACTTTCTTCTTCCCAAAACGTTTTTAAAAATAGACTCCATGGTCAATTCATGCCTAGCATGCTTGGATGGCATGTTATTCCTACTCAAAATTCCAAAATGCTTTACGAGTTTCCTTTTTCCATTCCTCTCATCCTCCGTTGGCCATCTCACATGATTTAAGTGACTCTAAAAGCTTAGAATGTTTCACTCACTCACGTTTTCCGTACAAATTTTAATATCTAGTTTAAAAATGTTATAGCTATTATGCTTCATTACTTTGGCACTACGTTCAAATCGGATTTTCATGATCAAATCTACTTGAATGGCCAAGCTTTGCTCTTAATAATTTCGACGTTATTATTATTAACGATGCTAGTTGTGGGTGTAATTATTAAATATAATTACACCGTAGCCTATATTAAGCAAAAGTTCTACTTTATTTATAAACTGGGTGCTGAATTCATTTACATGCACACTCAGCATGACCATCACATACGAAGCATCGATACTCTGTGAATCATTAGTATGCTTTGTTTGGACAAATCCCTTTCAAGGTCAAGGTTAGGAGAGGCTTCCTTAAGCGAAAAGGTGGCGGCGTTAATAGTCGTTTGGTCGCTCACCGAGACTCTCTCCTAACTTCAATCGTTGTAATAGCACTTTTGTTTACTCAAGACTTGATATGAAAGAGGTCGAATTCTTTTAAGGGCTCAACAAGACGTGGGTGACTATGTTGCAAATCACAAAATCAGCTTTGCCACCATTATGACTAAAGGACGCAGCTCTGGGCGCCTTTTGCTAGGTGCAGTGTGGAACTGGAATTAGCTACATTGGGCCGATCCAACGATGGTGTATGATCACTGCAATCTTTGTTTGGCGCACTGAACTAGCAATGCAAACTTCATCCGAAAGATAGGATTTTATCCGTGCTATTGCAAGTGTCGCAACTGCATGTCGAAATTGTGTGCAGCAAATCACGTGCGGAACCGCTAATCATCGATGTGATTCTCTAACCGTCTTTATAGTTGTGCAAATGGCTGTAACATTTCCTTGATATGTTTACACCGAAGGTGGGTTCAAAACCAGATGAATCTTAGGCTTGTCGTGGGAAGACAAATAGCAATAAACAAACTTGCAGAACATTCATCCCCAGACGGAACTGGCACTTATGCACTATCCGTTGAACAAGATTTCGGGGTGATTATTGCAAACGCACCCTTGTACCCCTTCATTCGAGGTAAGTAAACAATCACCAACCGAGTTGTTAGGTTTAATGCATCTGCTAGAACGCAGTCTCGTCTAGAGGTCCCAATCCTTCACCGCATAAAATCATCTTATGCAGGAACCTTTCTTCGTTGAATACTGCCTGTCTTTGGGTCTGGGTCCCTGGGTGTAATTTATTATCACTAACAATGCAAACTAAGTAAAGTAGACCCTCTTCTGCTCTTGACAAGATTTGCACAAAGACGTTCTCGACTACATTCATTTGAAATCCAACCTCGCATTTCCAGAGGTGCAATCATATCTCGACTGAACGCGGAGAAGACGCAGACAGATCCAACCTCTCAACGTTGGCAGCGATTCAGCACCGCCTGGAGACCCGACCCTGCCACCATGATTTAGTTCCACTTCTTTCACCTTCCCTACCTTACTGCAATCTGAATCAGGCGCTAAAACCTAAATCTTCTCACCAACAACAGTGTTGCGCCAAAAATTTGAATTTAAAAGTCGATTCTCTTCCCTCTAATTTCAAGACCAATTGCAATACTCTCGTGCCTATGAGGATTTATCTTTTGAAGCAAATCAGCCCACTCCTTAGTTTAGCTATCCTAGCAGGCAGCGTCGACTTGCAGCGCATATGCACAAAAAACTAATAGATCATATGGCACGAAGTAAAAACTATGCTAAACCTATGAAGACGGTATGGAAAAGGAAAGGCTGAATCACAATTCTTGAGGCCTCAGAGAGGACTGACTGGAGAGGGAGTAAGGAGGTGAGGCGGAGGAGGGAGGAGAAGTGGTGATGGAAATGTCAGTCTGGCGTCCCTCGGTAGCCGCCTGTACGCGTCTCGCGTACCTCTTTCGAATCGTTTCGATGTGTTCCTCAAAGGCTGCCCGCGTCACATTTTCTTCGCCCAAAAGCGCCTGCAAATGTCCCGTATCTTGACCGGTGGCCATGCGCATCCGAAAAAACTCCTCTAGTCTCTTACAAAACAAACCGTTTACGTATCAAAAATAACAATAAAATCCTTTGACGAGCTACGGTTTTAAAGGTCAACACTTTTTAAGCAGTCAAACAAACGAATTATACGGGGGTATCGATCGGGCCAAACATAAATAGCTTTCAAGCGGCATGACGCAGAGAAACTGAAATTCACCATAAGCCTAGCAAACACCGGTAAAGTAGATGCCAATGATCACTCTATGCAGAAGAAAACGAGGAGATGGGAATCCTATGCCTAAGACGAAGCATCTTAATGTTGGCACTTATGGTGTTAAAAGGCAGACGTATGACGCTTTAATCGTTAGAAGGCAGAGACTTGAAACAACACTAAACAAACTGCAACATGAATGACCAGCAGTTAAGGCTAAGTGACTGGTGTAAATGAAGAGTGAGTTGACGATACCTTGCGCTCAGCGTCCAGCTCGTAAGTAGCTTTTCTGTACTCTTCAGCCAACGCACGGTAGCCCTCAGATTTGATAACAAGGCAGTCCTGCTTAACCTTATTATTGGCCCGACAGCGCTGCACCGCTCTGTTATTCCGTTCCCGTGACACACGATACTCCCTCGATTTCCGCTTCTCCTCCGACACAGGCCGATATACGCGACGGGTGTTAAGACAGCTACCAGAGGAGTCGCCATGTGACAACAAAGCAGGTTGTTGAAGTGGAATATCAAACAAACCGGGATCAATAATATCCGAATTCATTCTGCTAAAAGGACAAGAGCATAGCAAACGAAACCATTAACACTCAGAAGTGACAACAATAAACAGAAATGCTACACCACAATAGAACCATCGATTAGAACAAATAAGCAATACTAATTTCCCATATGCGAGATTGTGAATGTTCAATTCATGTTCGTTCAATATGGCGAATGTTTCAATTCGACGCCTGTTTAGAGAAGACATCCTAAATACATAGAACAAAGCATGCAGCAGTGGTCAAACCAAATCCAGCCAAGGTCTAGAGGAATTCTTGGGAACCTTGAGGCTAAAGATGCCATTTCACACGAAGAGCAAAATGAACCACAAGATATCAGACAGAAAAAGCATAAGTGACTCGACAACGCACTTTAGAAGGAAACTAAGAATAAACCCTCACAGCTCGTCATTGTTGCCACATAAGTCATATTGCTAAATGACAACAAGGCAAACATACAGACCAGACCCCCACCGAGTTAGGTGAAACAATTCATAACAGGCACTCGAAAGTGATAGAATAAAACACAAACTGTCAAAGTTAACAAAGATTATATTTCTGGTCTCTTACATGCTTGCTTATAAACAACATTAAAAAATTACACGTATTATGATATAAACGACAAGTGATAAACATGACTTCTGTAATTACAATTATTTGTTTAAGTGTCCAATGACTTGCACATCAAATACCTCGAGTCGATTTTTTGCATTACGCAGACGTTTTTTTAGATTTTGGAGTATTTGTATACCCGCTGCGGGCCAGTCGCTTGTAATAAATTGGCTCCTAATATTAAAAATGCTATGCTTTGGCAGCAGTAATCCAAATGAGGGGCTCGGTACTTGCGCCAATGTGGGTCGCGGCCATTTATTTACATACTTCTCCGTGTCCAGGTAGCACGGAATATAGCGTGTTTTCATAACTAGGCATCATGTTTGACTGATTAAACTTTCACAATTCAGCTATTATCATGGAATATGTTCATTGCTTTTGTGGTAGGCGAAAAACTTTGCTTAACTAAGAGGGTTATTTAACCACTTACGACGGTAATATTTCGAATGGTGATGATGGGATCCGTTGGATTTTCTTATTTATAGGTGTTGGTGGTTTGGAGAAGTCATTCTACTGTACTGACTTCTCTGCCGCTAAATTTGAGCACGTTCTGTTGCAGCTCTTCAATTTCTCGTAATCCTTTAGACATTTTGGAAGGTGGAGTGTACTTTTTTAGATACCCGTTCTACGAGGAACAACTGGAATTGTTTTGAACCTTCGATGTGTATTGATTTTCGTTTTTACTCACTTGCCTTTAAATCTGACCACAGTTTGGTAAAATAAAGTGAACTAAGCAGAGACGAAAAAGCTAGCTTTCTCTTTACCGTAACTGAGTTGATAACGTTTAGGTATTTTTTCTCTTAGCGCTCAGTTGTTAAACTGCGTTCTCTCAACTTATAGTATGCCTCTCCATTCATCTAATATCGGAATGAGTGAGCTCAAGATCATCGCTGAAATTCCGGCGCCTCCAATATTTTTATGCGGTGAAGTCGTTCGTTGCGAAGTATCGGTGGTACTCATGGATCCCAAAACTGCTTGGTATCCTTTGCTCTTGTTAATTTCCCTTTTAAGTACTCTAATACACTTTTTTCTTCAGGAAAATCCGGAGTATCGAGGGAATTCTCGTGGGACAATATCGGCTTAATGCTGCTGCAATCGGAGACAAGTTCAAGAACCGACCAGTGTTGAATGATGTCTTTTCAGCACCACCTGATAACGAAGCTAAAATTGGTATGTACTCATCCATCGCCTACTTTTCCGTTTAGATAGTGCATTTATTTCTGGGTTGGACTCTCAGAGTCGTATTTCTTGGATTCGACAACTGAACTCCACAAACCAGTGGCCTCTCATAATCCACGCTGGGAAACCTCTCGCAAAGATTGTATTGAAATCTCGTCTTCCTGAAAATTTGCCACCTAGCTATCGTGGAAACATTATCCGTTTTGCTTACAAAGTTCTGGTCAAGGCTCAAGTTAACGACAGACCAGCGCAGCTGCTTCACTTGCCTTTGCGCGTTCTGCCTTCTGTGGGTAGCTGCTATCCTTTCGACTCCTCCATTAGCTTTGACTCCTTGCCTTGCCTGTCGGGTAGTGAGAGTCATGCTTCTCTCGGCTGCGTCTATAATCCATTTCATGTTGACTTTCACAGCCAGCTTGGACACAAGGGTGGCATTCCTAGTGAGGGAATTCTTCAGAAAACGTTAATGCACCCTGCTGTTTCCGCCAAGCTCTCGCAATTATATATCAACACGCAGGTCTCGAATGGTACCACTCTTGGACATAAGGTTCAAAAGACTGAGAGTATAAAACGTAGGAAACGAAAATCTCTATCACAGTCGCCCTCAGCATTGTTTGCTGAAATTGTTTCCTCTAGTTCGGTGGGTATGTTTCGCTCTGTCTATTCACCACTATTTAGCGAGCTTTATGCTCTCAGGTCCGAATGGCCATATTTGTCGAATCACAATTTTCAAGACGGTTGCGCGATTAGGGGATTTGTTACGAGGCTACTTGGATTTCCGAGCAGCTACTCTACCTGCCTTTGAGTGCATTATTCGAGCTGATACTTATGAATTTCTTGACCTAACTACGTATCCCGATAATGATTTAAGAAGCAACCTTTTGTTCTCCGCATTGACAATAAATGTGTCTACTGCATTCCAAAATAGGGATGTCCCTCAAGCAAACATGGATAATGGATTTAAAACATCTTGGTTTGAGACGCGATTGACTTGTTCGAATGTAAGTTTTCTTCCATTTGCGATCCCAATTTCTCTGAATGCACCGGTGGAATTCATGCTATCTAGCAAATACTGGAATGGGCTATGCAGAGTGCAGTGGTACCTGCGATTTCAATTCACTGTGGCAATGTCTATTCCAAGGCGGAAACCCCAATTGTCAATCGAACCATTGCTATTTAACCGTTTCCTTCAAGAAAAAACAGTATCAAATCAGTTGGATTACACATCTCCTATAAGCTGTGAAACTCAAACCTTCTCCTGGGAGCTTCCCATTCGCATCATTCCAAATAGTCCGACAGCTTTCCTATTGCCCAGTCAATCATGTTCTTGCTGCACTTTTTCACATGAATAACTTGTAGACACGACATATTTTAAGGACTTTATTACTTTGCTTTGATGTTATTTTATTCGAAAAGCATGAATAATGAATGACGTTTTATTTTTGTCCTGTGGAAACTATTTCAATTGGCTTCTTGTTTGTAAGCTTCTACACGTTCTAGTAAAACTTCAGGATATCCAGGAGAATAGAATTTGACAACATCTTCGGGAAAGCAGTTATTTATGGTAGTTATATGTGTGTATAGGGCGGATCCGGGCTCCGCATCAATTTCTTGAATTTTTCTTAAGCATCCACTTACGACAAATGCACGTCTGGCTGTAGCGTTTCGTGGAAGAAGCTTGCTGAACTGTACCACGACATACTTCAGTATGTTGGGTGGCGAGCTGGGCAATATTGATTGTAATGTCTCCATGTCAGTACACTTTTCCAGGACCTGTTTGAGACACCGCTTGCACTACAGTTCTAGTTACAAATTACGGTTATACTTTTTCTTTTAAGTCTGGAGAGCTCTGTGAATTAAGGTAACATGCCAATATGGTTGGAATTAATCCGGCCTCGGAAACAGCATTTGCGTGGCCTGCGCTATGACGACCGATTTGGCCAATGGTCCATGCAGCCGCTGTTTTCACTTCATCACTTTCTTCAAGAAGTATATTCTTAAATTGTATCAGTACCTTGGTAATCTTATTAATAATCTCGGTAGCATACTTGAGTTTTTATAACGGTGGTCGCTTGAAGATCCGAATGTGCTGCAATATAGCCAAGAGCCATTATTCCAGGTATGATGTGATGTCCTTTTCCTTCTTCCACAAAGATCACCAACAGTGGAATTAGGCCCGAATTTTCTACGGCTTGGCATGCTTCAAACGTATGCTTGCAAAGCTCCTTTATTAGGTTGGCCGCGTCACTGCGGAGGCTCACATCCTTGTCCTTCATACTAATCAAAACTTGGGGAAATATACTAGCTTCCAAAATCAATTCTGCGAAATCTGGTGTGTGCTTAGCTATTTGAGTCAAGGAAACAAAGGTCTGTTTCTAGAGGCATTATGATATTGTATCAAATTACTCGTAACTTGAGGCAGGAGTCCGTTGTTTGCTTCACGAGATGCCAAATCGCAGAAATGTCGACTACACTCTGGGCTAGGGTTAGTGAATGTTTAGATATGTCTCCCAACACAGCAGCTGATATACATCTTAAATTGACACCTGGCTCTTGCAAACCAAGAATAATTAGTGGAAGAGTGCCAGAATCAACAACGACCTGTGCTAGATCTTCGTTGTGTTTGGCAATACAGTCAACACAGGACGCAGCATTTTCCTTTACACATTGGTCAAAATCCTCCAAACAGGCGTTAATTGCACTAAGCGCATCGTATCGAACAACAGCGAGTGCCAAATCTGGCGAATGTTTGACAATTGATTGGAGAGCTAATAAGGCTGACCTTTTGTAAAATCTCTAGAAATGTTTATGTGAGTCTATTCATTACATGCTCCATCCCAGATGATTTCAACATCATAGGAATTATGTTAGAGTCTACAACTGATTCAGCAAACTTTTTTGAAAATCCTGCAATCTTTCCTATGACGATTGCCGCTACTTGTTGAATAGTCGGTACGGGATCATTAAGTAAGGGTCCAAGACATGAAATAACATCATATTTGAGCAAACGATCAATATTATTAGGACGACTTGCTAAATCGGACAAAGACTGAATAAATGCTAGTCGAGCCTTTTGGTACTGCTCAAAGACTAAAAGCTGTTATTAACTTAGAATGCAAACCTAGGAATATTTGCTTTTGACTCATTTTCAAAGCAGTCACAGCGTCAACGATAGGTCGAATGTAGTAAATCAGTTTATATAAACCAGAGATTTTCACAAAATTTAGTCTGAAAGCAGGAGTTACATTTTTAACCAATAATAAATACCAGGTTAAAGGAATATTAATAATAAAAATCACAAGGTATTAGTTTTTTA